ATTATAGTGATAGTAAGTCCACTAGAGAGTTGTACGTTTTTTCTCTTAAAAACCATGTCACTCCTGCTAATTCTGTGATGATGATCGGTGGTACCACTTCTTCACCCCTAAAACTTTTATGAAACATCATGCAACTCTGGATGTTCTTGGGGAAAAAGAACTGAGCTGACAAGCAAAGTGTGATCTCATAATGTTGGGTGGTATCCACTGCAAGTTCAACTCAGGTTACTACTGCATGTTTTGACCATTCTCTAAATGTGCCTGTTAACTTGTATCCTGGTAGAAACGTTTGGAAGTACAGAATCCCTCCCTCACCCACAAATTTTTATTTTGAAATTTTCAAACCTGGAGAAAAATGGAGAGTAGAATAAATCTCATATTCTGTCTCCCTATGTTTACTGCCAACAGCTTCCATATTCATTTCCTCTCTTGAAACATACACCTACACCCATATACACACAGAGTTTAAGTACAGAATCACACCCCCTTTAATTTTATTTTGAAAAGTTTCAAACCTACAGAAAAATGGAAAGAATAGACTAAATCTCATATTCCCTTCACCTACACTCTCTACCAACTACTAACAATGTCCACATTCAGTTCTCTCTCTTGTTATACACACACACACACACACACGTATCTTTTTTTTAAATCCTGAACCATATGTTACAGATATCATGACAGTCTGTCCCTAAATACTTCAGCATGTATCTCTGGAGAACAAGAACATTCTCTTATAAAACCACAATACCATTATCACCCTCAAGAAATTCAATCTTGCCAAAATAATATTATCTAATATATCATCCATGTTCAAATTGTCCCATTAATATATTTTATGACCATCTCCCCCCATTCAGGACCTAGTTATGGATTATGCATTACATTTAGTTGTCAAGCTACTTTAATCTTAAATAACTTCTCCACCTTCATTTTAGCTGTTTGCTTTTCAAGACATTGACATTTTTGAAGGGTAGAGCCTAGAGTTTTATTGACACTGCCTTGGAATCTTCCCAGAAGCATTGGTTAAAACCGAGATTGCTGGGCCCCAACCCCTGAGTTTCTGATGGAGTCTCTCATTCAGTCAGATGTTGTTGCTACTTGTCATTGAGTCAACCCTGACTCATGGCAACCCCATGTATACAGATTAGAACTGCTCCATAGGACTTTCAAGGTTGTGTATGTCTCTGGGGTGAGCTTGAACGGCAAACCTTTTAATTAGTAGGGATGGGGATTCTGTTAGAATTTGCCTTTCTAACAAATTCCCAGGTGAGGCTGTTGCCGATGGTGCTGTGGGACTTCACTTTGAGGACCATTATTACATAGTTGTTATTGTTATTGTGTGCCGCCGAGTTGATTCTGACTCAGAGAGAACCTGCATAGGGTTTCTGATTGTTACAGAGAGTGTCACACAAGTAGATTTGTCTGATTGCTTCCTCAGACGAAATAAACTGGGCAGGAAAACTCCTAGGGGAGGTGTGTCTTTCCCACTGCACCCCAACAGGAGCATGGGGCACCTGCCGGTCCAGATACTGGTGAGGTAAACTTGGTCCACCAGATGTCTCTATTATAAAATCAAAAATAAAATGTGTTTGTTGAGTCAATTTTGACTCATATTGACCCTTTGTGTGACAGAGTAAAACTTCTCCATAGGGTTTTCTTGGCTGTCATCTTTATGGAAGCAGATTTCCAGGCACCACTGGATGGGGTTGAACAACCAAACTTTTGGGTTAGTACTGTTGTTATTGCTAAGTGCTGTTGAAGTGGTTCTGACTCATAGTGACCCTGTATAGCGTTTCCAAGGAGTTCCTGGTGGGTTTGAACTGCCGACGTTGTGGCTAGCAGTCCAATGCTGATCCTACAGTGCCAACCCAGGACTCCTCTGGCTTAGTAATCCAGGACAAAAGATTTGCCCCATCCAGGAACCTTTCTCCATTACAAAGGTAAAAGCAAATTATTTAGTGCTTGTTTTGGCAGCACATATATTAAAACTGGAGTCCTGGTGTGGTGCTGTGGGTTAATGAGCCAGACTGCAAAGCCGTTTGAACTGCAGTTCAAGCTTACGAGTCAGTCCTCAGAAACCCTATACAAGGTCACTATGAGTCGGAACTGACTCCATGGCACTTAGCAACAAATATTAAAACTGGAATGATACAGATAAGATTAGCATGGCCCCTGTGCAAGGATAACACACTAATTCGTGAAGCATTCCATATTTTTACTAGGAAGGGGAGGGCAATACACAAGAAGAGGGAGGGGGACAGACAAACAAGGTAGATAAAGGACCACTTAGATAGGTTTGCATGGGCTAAATGGGACAGAGGTATATAGTAATGTATGCTTAACCTTAGAACAACAGAGCTTTGTGATACAGAGACTGAGGCATAGTCTGAATGAATAAAGGAGGGGAAATAATGTTAAGATGCCTGACTGTCTTATGAATATTCATTTCCCTTGCCTACTATTGTAAAATAGACACTTGAGTGGGATAGAAAGGAATATCAGGAAACATGATTACAGAAAGCTTGTAAGCCCATGTTCAGTCTATAACTGACTGGAATACCTAAAAGGGGTTCTAGAACTTGCCCAGTGAAATAGGCTTCTTGCAGAGCCTTCGTAGTGTATAGGACTTTAGGAGAAATCCTGAGTCCCATCCAGAAACTTCTGAGGTGGGACATTCCCACTTGAAAGGACAAGCAGACCAGCCTGGAGCAGCTAGAGGAACAGAAGATACTTGCTGAAAAAAGACCAGCAGGAAAAAACAAAAACAGCAGTCTGTTTGGCTATAACAAGAACAAGCAAGTTGAAAAGAGGAAACAAATCCTTACAGCAAGGATCATTCCCAGCCCATCCACACACAGAGTGGACAGAGATGGGCAACTTGGATATTGGCTACCCAAGGTGTGAGTGGGGGACTACAAAGGCAAGAAGTGACTGGCTTACAAGCTTTCAAGAGGGAACCTAGTTCCAGAGGGTGTGGAGGAAGGTAGAATCTCCACTGAGTAGTATCCAATCTGTCTAGGTGGGGCTGATGAAATGAAATGCGGATGGGTCTCTTGTGATGCAACGGTGAATAATTGTTATCAGGACTGATTGTGAGGGTTGGAAATGTAAAGGCAGATGTTTTATAGCAAGGATGGGAGTGATAAACTGTTCAGTCTAGGAGCGGAGGTCCCTCAAACCATCAAGGGAGAAGAGCGGAGAGTGGGACCCTACCCAGAGAAGCAGTGATGCCTGAGATGGAGGCAGAGACGATGATGTGGAGAGATGGAGCAGCTGAGGACTTTAGACTCAGAGAGGGAGAGGGGCTGTGTGCTGACAACCGGGGTGCAGACTTGTAGTGTTTACCCTTTGGTTGGCTGATGATGCATGGAGGGGATTGTAACCATGACAATGAAATAGTTTACAGGGGAGAACATTAGTTTTACATATGATAGAATGAATATAAAACTAATGTTCTCCCATGTAAACTATCACATAATTCACAATAAAACATTAAATAAATAAACTTTTTGCAATATTGCATTAAAAAAAAAAAGAACAAGCAAGTTGTTTGCTGGAGAGCCATTAAGGTAAGCAATCAAGTCCCTTCAGGACAAACCTCCCTCCAAGACTGAAACTCAAAGGGAACACACAAGCAAGCATTTAAGGTAGCTGGTGACCATGTTGGTTGACATGTGAGTGAAAGTGGGGGAAAGACAGTAATGAAGACATGTGCTGAGTTTGACCACATCCCGTAGACGCTTGTTGACCTTGAGATAAGAGAGAGAAGAGGAAGAAGGGCTGGTAGGTCCGAAGTTTGGTGAGACTTGGGAACTCCTGAGCCCATGGACACTGACCTAGCCATGGAGCTAAGAGTGAATCATCCAGCTGATATGAAGTGGGAGGAGATACCCAAACTTGCAGATAGTACCCGTTTGTCCTAGCCTCAATGGCTTGGTGACCAGAGCTCGACTAGAGGAAGTTAAAGAAATTTGATAAAGGAATTACTACAATTTGATGAACTTCACCTATATTTATGGATGTAGCAGCTCAAAATACCAACTGAGAGGGAAGGAGTCTTCACATCCCCTTGGTATACAGAGTTGATAGGGATGGGCAACTTAGACAATGGCTACCCAAAATGGGGGAGGGGGCTATAAAGGCATGAAGTGGCTGGCTTGCAAGTTTTCATGAGGGACTTGAGTTTTAGAGTGTGAGGGGGACGGCAGAATCCCCACTAAATAGTTTTCATATTGTCTAGATGGGTCTGGTGAAAAGAGATGATGATAAGATTCTTATGATTCAATAGTGAGTAACTGTTATCATGACTAATTGCAACTGCCACAATTGTAAACATAGAAGTTTTGTAACATAAAGTGGGGAGTAGTTAATCTTACATTCCAGGAACAGAGGACCCTAGGACTATCAAGAGAGACGAGCATGAGCAGAACGTGGGGCCCTAACCAGAGAAGCAGTGACACCAGAGATGGAGGCAGACATGGTGACATGGAGAGACAGAGCAGCTTAAGACTCTATAGACTCATAGAAAAAGAAAGGCTGTATGCTGGCAGCCAGGAGGCAGGCTTGCAGAATGTGCCCTTGGACAATTTAAATGATTATGTATTCCTGAGTGTTTTTGTGTACATCAAAACACACACACACACACACACACAAAAAAAAAAAACAACAACCCAGCGGGAATAGAAGCAATTACTGTTAAATGATGTACAGAGGGAATTGTAATCATTGCAATGAAACAAAACACAGTAGGATGAGTGTAAAACGGATGTTTGTTCTCCCATGTAAACTATCACTCAATTCATAATAAAAACTTTAAAAAAAAAAACAAAAAAAAAACTAATTATTTAGCCAGGTGCTTAGCATCTAATTAGAAGACACTGAACTACTGATTGAATAAAGGAATTATAAAAGAATTAAGAAAAGCTAATACTAACCTGTGTATCCAGTATTTATAATACAAGGGGAGTACACCATTGGGCCCATTGTCCTGAAATGTGCTGATCAGTTTCTCCAGCTCTGTCGCAGTTCGAGCGATGAGAAGATCAGCTCTTAAGGCCTTCAGATCTGTCCTGTGTTGCTTATTGTATTCTGTGACAAGATCATTGATGCATATGGTAGGGTTGCTATTAGTCACATTCACTCCACAGCCTGGACAAAAACAAATAAACAATGGAAAACCAAGTGCAGCTCACTATATTGCTGACATCTCATATTCCTTTCAAATACCCAGAAAAACTTAGTTTTTATTATCCAGTTTCTGCTTCCTTTCCTTCATTTCAAATGCTCCCAAAATTTATCCATCTCTGGCTCCTTAGAAAGTAACTTATATCATTAACACGACCTTCCTTTTCAACTTTCCTTTATTATCATTGGTCATCTAGGGCCATCCCAACATCACCGCAAATAGGAATTTGGAAAAAAGCCACATTTGATTCAGTTTAATTAAACAAATGCTTATTACATGGGTAGTCATAAATCAAAATCACCTCCACAGCAATTGTTCTTAAGAATGGGAAAGGGGGCAGTCAGTGGTGGTAGAATTCTTTCTTCCCGCAGGAGAGCTGAGTTCAATTCCCCACCCATACACATCACGTACAGCCAGCACTTTCCTCTCAGTGGGGCTTGTGTGTTGCTATGATGCTGAGTGGAATCCTGGGGTGGCGCTGTGGGTTAATGTACTAGACGGCAAGGTCAGTCTGAACCACAGTTTGGTGATTCAAGCTCCTCAGAAACCCTATACAGAGTCACTATGAGTCAGAACAGACTCGACAGCACTTAACAACAACAATGATGCTGAACAGGTTTCAATGGCACCTCCAGATTAAAGCAGACTAGAAAGCCCAGGCAATCTAAAATTCTGAAAATCAGCCAATGAAAACCCCATGAGTCACAACAGTCTGATCCTCAGCCCATCATGGGGATAGCAGGCCTGGGCAGTATTTCGTTCTGTTGCGCATAGTCACTATGTGCCAAGAGCCAACTTGGTGGCAGCTACCAACTGTGACATAAATGGGACAAAACTTCTCAGAGTTGCAATTCTAACCAAGAACTGTAGCTGTGCTCTGAGCCCAACATAAAATGAAAATCTTTTGCTTCTTTTCCCATTTGAAAACCAAAATATACTTTTGAAAATAGAGACTCTTATTCAGGACTTAAGGAGTCAACTCTAGATTCAGAGATTTCAAACCTTGGTCCTGGCATCTTTTATTGCTTTGTTTCACTCTGTTACAGTATTAGCAAGAGGGTCAACACATGTTCAGTGACTTTTACAAACACCTGCCATACAAGGCTTCTAGAGAGCCCTGGTGGTGCGGAGGTTGTTTGGCTGCTCCCCAAAAGGTTTGAACCCAAAAGCTGCTCCACGAGAAAAAGATGTGGCAGTCTACTTCCTTAAAGATTATAGCCTCGGAAATCCTAGGGCCATTCTAGTCTGCCGTGTAGTTAAGTCTGCACTGTGAGTTAAGAACTGACTTGACTACATCAGGTTAGGCTTGGTTTTAACCCAAGGTTTTAGAAGAGTCAGTGACCAACAGTGTTGTCCGAGTGGGCTTACCTATGCTGTTTCTCAATATCTCATCCTCTCAGGGAGAGACTAGAGTCTTCAGAGAAGGGCCCTGAATCAATCTCAAAGAGGTCTGACATGAAATACTGCAAGAAGTAGACACTAAGACTATCATGTATTCAGAGCTTCTATGAACAAATGTGTCCTTGTGTGGCACTGGCACTATAGACTATGCACTAGACTGCTAACCACAAGGCTGGCAGTTCAAACCCACCAGTCGCTCCTTGGAAACCCTACACAACAGGGTCTCTATGAGTTGAAACTGACTCAATGGCACTTAACAACAACAAAGAAAAAAAATCCCCCCAAATACCCACTACAGACAGAAAGATGGCATTTCCAAACAACAGCATTCAGCCATTTGCATTGTGAAAGAATGAAGTGATCGGTCTTAGATTTTGTTAGTAAAGAATTGCACTTCAAAGACTGTCTATTAAAATACAAAGCAATGTAAATTTGACACTACAGCAATGGGGTGGAGCTTACAGTTGCCCATTCCATAACAGGCACAAAATATGTAGTGCCTATGTTACAGCCTCGCAAACCCTGTATAGGGTCACTATGAATCGGAACCGACTCCACAGCACATAACAACAACATGGAGTTCAGGGGAGTCCTGGTGTGGTTCTGTGGGCTAATGCGTCAGACTGCAAAGTCGTTTGAACTGCAAAGATCGGTGGTTCAAGCTCACCAGCTGCTCCTTGGAAACCCTACACAGGGTCGCTATGGGTCGGAACCGACTCGACGGCACTTAACAACAACAACAACAACAACAAAAATAGTCACATTGGAACACTAAACCTCTCAGAAACACTCTCAACTGATCTGGCCCTATTTATACACATACCGTGACTGGAAACTATAAAATTCCAAGGAAAGTCACTCCATAAGATTATCCATAGTCCCTACATGTTGTTGTGAGCGGCTGTGGAGTTAACACCGACTCACGGTGAACCCATGCACAACAGGATTGAACTGCTATGGCATACAGGGTTTTCACTGGCTGATTTTTAGAAATAGGTCTCCAGGTTCTTCTTGCTACTCTGCCATATTGGGGAAGCTCTACTAAAACTTGCTGTGCATCACAGCAATACTCTAGCCTCCACTGGTAGACAGGTGGGAACTATGCATGAGGTGCACTGGCTGGGAATGGAACCCAGGTCTATCACATGGAGGGCAGGAATTCATCCACTAAGCAATTCATGCCCTCTCTCCCTCAACATGCTGCTGTTGGTGTTAAGGGCCATCAAGGCAGTTTCAATTTGTAGCAACCCTGTATGGGGTTTCTGAGGAGCAGCTGGGGGTTTGAACTGCTGACCTTGTGGTCCAGTGTTTATATTACAGTGCCACACCAGGAGCCCTTCAACATAGCCATGGATAAACCATTTTCACTTTTGTTATTTTGATCATCAAAAAAATGCCGGCATAAAGACTTTTAAAAACTGTGCCAATCAAAAACAAAAACAAAAACAAAAAACAACAACCAAATCCATTGCTGTCGAGTCGATCCCTGCTCATAGTGACCCTACAGAACACAGTAATACTGACCCACAGCATTTCCAAGGCTGTAATCTTTAAGGAAGTCAACTGTTGCATCTTTCACCCACGGAGCAACTGGTGAGTTCAAACTGCTGACCTTCAGGTTAGAAGCTGAGCACGTAAACACTGGGCCACCAGGATGCCTTACACTTACCAATAAGTATATAAAATGTTTCTCCCATAAGCGTTGAGTTAACCAGAACTCCACCAAGCTTCATGAGGTCACTGTAATAAATATCATTGGGCCACTTCACTCGCAAGTTGATATCCTATGGAAAGATCTGCACATTAATCAAGGAATCATAGGACACAAAGGGACCACCTCAGATCAAATAGGTAAAGGATAAATGACCAGGATACTCCTGAAACAAACAAAACACAGGACTTCTTCTCTCTTCATTTCCAGAAAGCAAATCACTTCTTTGAGACATTCCAATGTAAAAGTACCACTTAGGGCTAGGAGGAGAGAACCAAAAAACAAATGAGGGGATTCCAAAAAGTTCGTGGAAAAAATGGAAGGAAAGGTTAATGAAATTTTCCTCAAACTTTTTGTCTATAGCATACATCTCAGCACCCCAACTCCATCCCATCACTAATCAGAGTCATCAGAAACACTTTCTGACAATGCCCAGCTTGTGAATTACGTTCATTATCATGTTCAGTATCAAAAACCACCACCATGGAGCACCCATCAGGTGCTGGGTGCTAGGTGCTGGGTGCAGGGAGAAAACAGCACTCTCAGGGTGTGCTTCCCTGAGTAGCTCTTACTTGAGAGACAAAGATGGCCCTGGATTAACTAACATCATAAACATAAAGGCAAGTAGCTATGTCTCCAGTAGAGTGGAATGAGGATATAAAGGAGGAACTCCTGTACTGAGTTACTAGGGAAGGCCACACACCACAACTGACTATTGATATAGGTCCAGCGCATTAACCTATAGATTACCATTACTGCTTGAGTATATATATATATTACATATAGCGGAGTCCTGGTGTGGCACTATGGGATAATGCATCAGACTGCAAAATCATCTGAACTGCAAAGTCGGTGGTTCAAGCTCACCAGCTGCTCCTTGGAAACCCTATACAGGGTCACTCTGGGTTGGCAACAACTCAACGGCACTTCACAATAACAACAACAACTGAGAATGAACTTTCCATCTTGAAGTGTGTGGTCTGAGCAGTAGAGTGAACCAAAGGTAGACACTGCCTTCCTCAAGCTGGCCAACCAGTTCCCCTTCCCTCCCCTGTGACTTTGAAGTTGGGACACACAAGTTGCACTGGTTACACTGAGTGGGCACTAGAACCATGGGTCTCCTAGACTTCTAGAACCATGGGTCTCCTAGACTTGGGGCTAGCAGCCTGGTTGGGCTCTGTGTGGAGACACGAGACTAGAAGAGAAAACAAAGTTAAGGCAAAAGACTGGAGAGTAGTGGATGACCTCTAAGAGCTATAAGGCAACGCTTCCTGTACTCTTGGGGTTGGGGTGTCCCATATGTGCTGGGGACAGCATTGAGCCCCTTCTCAGTCAGCAGTGCTGTTAGCTGCTACTATTTTGGCCCCCGACTCATGGCAATTCTATGTACAATAGAACACAATGCTGATTAGACTGTTGTGAGAGCCAGTGCTGTGATGAAAAGATCTTCACTGGTAGATTTTCAGAAGATTACCATGACTTCCTAGTCAGACATAGTCTGGAATCGTCGCACACAGGTTCAGCAACACGCAAGTCTCCACTAATAGATGAGTGGTGGCTGCACGTGTAGTGGCTGGGAATTGAACCCAGGTTTTCCTACATGAAAGGCAAGAATTGTACCACTGGACCACCACTACCTGCTAAGCACTCAACATTAGTATCACTCCCATTCAACAGGGAAAGAGATTGAAGCTTCAAGAGACCATGTGGCTTGCTTGAGGTCGCAGCATTTAGAAGTGGTAGGGCTGGAATCCATTCCCACCTCGAGCCTATGTGTTCAGTGCCAGGCTACGGGGTCTGTTAGAGTTCCTGGATAGTGCAAATAAATGGTTAAATGGTTAAATGACTAACAAAAGGTTGGAGGTTCGAATATACCCAGGGATGCATTGGAAGAAAGGTCTTGTGATCTGCTTTTGAAAAAAGCAGCCACTGAAAGTCCTATGTAATCCAGTTCTACTCTCACACCCACAGGGTCACCAGGAGTCAGAGTCGACTCAATGACAACTGGTATGGGACCTGTTGATTCTATGAAATCCCCTTCTCTCTTTCTAACAGGACTTCTTTGTAACTCAGCTAGCTAGAGAGTATTTCTGCTTTTCAGAACTTCACCTGCCTTAGCAGAGCATTCTGGGCTGAGAGAAGTCATTAATGTATGAGCAGAAGAATGCAAGTATAAGCAAAATGTGGGATATTCACTGTGACCTCTAACTGATAAGGCGCTTTATAGTTCTTTTCGATCTAGCAGAGGGGTTTTCAATGCAAAGAGGATTTAGCTCTCCAGAGGACTTGACATTGCCTGCAGACATGTTTGGTTATCACCACTGGGTGGGGGGTGGCCAGGGATGCTGCTGAGCATCCAATGCACAGGCCTCTAAAACAAAGGATGATCTCCATCAAAATATGAATAGTGCTGAGATGGAAAAGCTCCCATCTAGAAAATTTATAATGTAGACACTTTGGTCTTTGCTGTTCTCCCAAGTTTCTGTTGTTTCTCCTCTCTTGCTTCCCCACACCCAGCCCATATCCACCATCACAGCAGGGAGAACAAGAACCTGCTTCAGCAGGGAGACACAGAGTTCTTAAAGTTCAGAAACAACTCCACTACGTGGGGCTGAGTGATCATGAGCTGTCCTTGCCTGGTCTTTTGCTCTTCTCTTCCTTTATGCTTTCTGATCCAGTCAGGTCAAGATGTAGCTTATGAATCTCTGAGCTCTTACACAGATAAACAAGGATATGTATACTAAGATGAAGGCAACATATTGGTTCTTCTTCATTTATGACATCCTTGCTGCTTTGATCCTCCTATGTACAAAACACCATATTAGCCACAGGGAGACCAAAATAAGACGAGTACTGCCTCCAAAGAGCTTGCGACATTGAAGGGAGATAGAACAGGAGCACAAATAACTCTGCTTCAAAGGAACATGAGGTAGATATCATAAGAGAAGTTCAGATGCCTAAAGCTCCATAACATGCCAGAAGGTCACTGGTGGTTTAGTGGTAGAGTTCCCAACTTCCATGTGGGAGACCTGGGTTCTATCCCCGGCCAATCCACTTCATGCACAGTCACCAACTCTCTGTCAGTGGAGGTTTGTGTGTTGCTATGATGCTGAACAGGTTTAGCAGAGCTTCCAGACTAAGATGGACTAGAAGAAAGGCCTAGCCATTTACTTCTGAAAATCAACCAATGAAAGCCCTAGGGGTCACAACTGTCCAGCCCATTACTGATCATGGGATGGTGCAGGACAGGGCAATGTTTTGTTCCACTGTGTATAGGGTAGCCATGAGTCAGGGGCTGATTTGATGTCCTGGTGTGGCACTGTGGATTAAGCAAAGTCAGTTTGAAACACAAGGTCAGCAGTTTAACCTCACCAGTTGCTGCTTGGAAACTCTATACAGGGTCGCTATGGGTCAGAACCAACTCGAAAGCACTTAACAACAACAGCTAGGTGTTAGAGGAAGAAGAATTTCTAGCAGGAGGAGTTGGGAAACGGCATTTGAGCAAGGCCTCAAAGGATAAGCAGGATTTCAGCATGCAGAGGAGAGAAGAGCAAGGGAGTGTGGAGGTGGGGCAGAGCACAGGTGCCCAGCGATGCTGCATCTGAGAAGGTGGCGGGTTAGCATGTGTATGCTGATGGTGCCATCTTTCTAGAGACTGGAGGATGGGGGGTGGTAGGAGTGAAGCATATAAGTGTGAAGCATATAAGAAAAGCAAACTGTACTCAGTTTGGGCCTATTTCAACCAACCTGTAGGCCTACTGTGTGAGCAAACTGGATTATATAAAAATAAATCTAATTCATGAAGGATACAAACTGTTGGTGGGAAACTTTTAAAGAGAACAGGAGAGACAAAGTCCCAGCTGGGAGCAAGCATCCCTCACTCATCTTACTCCTGGCATAGCCCCTCAAACACAGCAGCTACGTGTATGAATGCTCACCAAATCACAAATGAGACCACAACGTCAAAATCAAAGCCAGTAAAAGACTAAAACAGGCACATTTCATCTTCCAGGTTAAATTTTACTTAATTTCCTCAGACTAATTCACTTGACAGTTTCACTGTTGCTAGAGTTAATAATGTTTTCTCCCATGATGTTGTTATTACGTACCCTAGAGCTGTAGTGATTCATAGTGACCCTCTCTATGGTTTCCATGGAGCAACTGGTGGGTTTGAACCACCAACCTTGGTTTGCAGTCCAGTACTTATCCTACAGTGCCACACATAGACTCCAATGATAGAAGTTGATAGTCTCAATTGCTTTTTACAAGACAGGTTTTTAACAGTAGGATGAGCCTGAAACTCATCAGAATTAGACACAGCTAGGATGTCATGAGTAATGAGGAATAATGAATGTCATATTTGAATGGGCATGTCACTGGCTGGATAGAATGCAGGAAATTCATACTTTAGAACTGATTATCTCTGTGGAATACCCAGGTTTTAAGCAGAGACGATGAGGACACGGTCACATCAGGAGTTACAAGGGGAGTAGAGAGAACAGCTTCTTCATTTAAATGCTGATGACAAGACCACAGATTATTCAGCTGAGAGTTACGCTCTTAACACCATGCTTTAGGGATCAACACAACATATAGAACCAAGAGCCCCAAACCCACTGCTGTTGAAATGATTCCAACCCATAGCAACCCTATGATGCAGAGTTGAATTGTTCTTTAGCATTTCTGAGACTACAAATCTTTATGGGAGCAGACAGCCTCATCATTCTCTCTCAGAGTGCCTGGTGGGTTTGAACCACTGACCTTGTGATTAGCAGCTTAATGCTTAACCCACTGCACCACCAGTGTTTCATATTGTTGTTGTTGTTAAGTGCCGTTGAGTTGGGTCCAACTCATAGCGACCCTGTATAGGGTTTCTGAAGAGTAGCTGGTGAGTTTGAACCCCACTGATCTTGCAGTTCAAACTGACCTTGTGATCCAGTGCATTATCCTGCAATGCCACACCACAACTCCATGTATATATGTGTGTGTGTGTAAAACGTATGTATGTATGTATGCATACATGCATGCATGTATGTTTGTACGTAGTCCTAGTGTCAGAACCACAAGGTCCACAAGGTTGGCAGTTCAAACCCACCAGCCACTCCCCAGAAACCCTATATAGGATCCTCTCGCTGAAAGCGAAGATGACTTAAAATACTTACAGACGAAGATCCAAAATCTTTGGTATGGGTTGCACCTCAATGTAAAGAAAACAAAACTCCTCACCATAGGACCAATAAATAACATCCATATAAATGGGAAAAACTGAAGTTGTCAGTGACTTCACTTTGTTTGGATCAGCCATAAACACTCATGGAAGCAGCAGTCAAAAAATCAAATGACGTATTGCATTAGGCAAATCTGCTGCACAAGACCTTTTTAAAGTGTTGAAGAGCAAAGATGTCAGCTTGAGAACGAAGGTACACCTGACCCAAGCCACGGTATTTTCAATAACCTCATATGCATGCAACAGTTGAATAATGAATATACAAAACCGTAGAGAAGAATTGATGCGTTTAAGTTATGATGTTGGAGGAAAATATTAAAAGTACCATAGACTGCCAAAAGAACAAACAAATTTGTGTTGGAAGAAGTACAGCCAGAATGGTCCTTGGAAGCCAGGATGGCCAGACTTCGTCTCTCATATTTCAGACATGTTAATAAAAGGGACCAGTCCCTGGAGAAGGCTATCAAGATAAAGACCCCCAATGAGATGGATTGGCATTGGCTCAAGCGCAGCAACAATTGTGAGGATGTCGCAGGGAACGGGCAGCGTTTGGTTCTGTTGTGCATAGGGTCACTATGGGTTGGTATTGACTCAATATCTAACAACAACAATAAATTAGTAACTGAGTAGTTATTAACAAGTATCTGGCAGTAACAAAGAAACCGGCACATCTGTCTTTACAGCCTAGATGATGAACTCAGTCAATTGCAGACAAACGATGCCTTTGCTGAAAATCAGATTGTGCTCTAATTCAAGGCAATCACATATGTGTCAGAGCAGAATTATTGTGAATGGAGAGTTTCTGGGGAGCACAACTGGTTAAGCACTTGACTACTACTAGCCAGAAGACTGGTGGATGGGATTCCTGCAGAGGTGCCTTAAAAGACAGCTCTGATGATCTCCTCATAGTCCTGAAAATCCTCTGTACAAGTTCTCCTCTGCACACATGGGGTTGCTGGGAGTCAATCAACTTAGCAGCATCAAACCACAACAATCTTAGAGACACAGATCACCAGGCCTTTCTTCTTGTTGTTGCTGGGTATATTAGAACCACCAACCTTTTGGTTAGTAGCCAAGCACGTTAATTGTTTGCGTCACACACAGTCATACTTTCTGAGAAGAGATGGTAGTAAATGGAAGTAAGAAATGAACAGGCTTTTAACGTTCACAAAATAAACTTTTTCTTTTTTTTTTTTTAAAGACATGCTTTAATTAAAAAAAAACAAAAAACAAAAAGGCTTGCCCTTCCTAGGATTTTTCGAGAAGTCTGACAAACAGGATGGAAAGGGAATTCTGGGGAATAAATCTATTTTGGCAAGCAAGCCCGAAGCAGCAATAAAATCTGATGGTACTTTTAAAACTCCAGAAGCCCTCCATGCCAACTTTGCAAGGAGCAGGTTAGGGCTCTACATGCAACAATTATGAAAACATATACCACAAACAAAAACAAACCAACCCCTACACGCACTACAAGGATTTAAAAGTGCACATACCTGGTACCCAGGAAGCGATCTCACGGCTTCCACCACGGCCAATGACATCAGATGCTGAACAAAAGGGATTCGCTGTCCCAGCTGGGATTTTAGCGGGATGGAGACAAGTAGAGTAGAGAGAGCACATCCCACTGGGCTCAGCCAAGCATTCCTTCCTCGTCCTGGAAAACAAGTACTGTTGTTCACATGAACTCACTCAGAAGGGCCAGAAAATGTGACCAGGACTTTGGAGCCATCTGGTCAAGAGACTGTTGTTGTTAAGTGCTGTTGAGTCAGTTCTGACTCACAGTGACCCTGTATAGGGTTTCCAAGAAGCGGCTGGTGAGCTTGAACCACCCAATATGTGGTTCAAACTAAATTTTCAGTCTAGTGGTTTATCTCACAGCGCCACACCAGAGATAGCTATTAAGATATAGCTCCCTCAAATAAACCCTGGCTTATTATAATGCCTCCTGGATATTCTGGGGTTAACTCAATATGGAAGAAAAGCTTTTAAAGATCTGAAAGTTCTGCTGCCAAAAAAAAAAAAAAAAAGTTTCTGATAATTAGTATCATTTTCAGCCTCTGTGAGTGATATGGGGATGGGGGTGGGGAGTTGAGAGAAACCAGACTGAGTTCATGTTGATTTGGGAGTTACTTTTTAGAAGTGGTTCCTTAGGTAGTGATGGCTGCACAGTTTTGTGCATGCATATACTAGAAACTATTGCACTGCACACATTAAATGGGTACATGAGTAGCATCTAAAAAAGCAGCAGCTGCAACTAAAAAAAAAAAAGAATGATGTCTAAGATTAACCCTCAGAGTTATTATTTTTCTTAAAGAAGTCAGAGGGGAAAAAATAGAAATGAAGCGTAACTAGTTAATCCAAGATCTTCTATATATAATGTATTTTTGTTTTTAACCCAGCATATTGAGTCTCATAGTTTTGGATACAATGACATTTTTTTTTTTAACTTCTTTTTGAATTATGTTCGTAAGACATATTCTTGAGAAATAACTGGGAAATAGTGCATTCCTTATTTCTTTACTGCTGAGAAAGTCATGAGCGCCTCTGAAAGTTAAGAGCACATTGGGTCGGCCTGGTGCCAATTACCACGTAGAGCCCCGCCGAGTGCCTTTCACTCATCCCTCCATCATCTGCCTCCTGTACAGACCTCAAGTGGATTCTGGGAGGATATGGGATCAGTAGCTAGTGGTATGTGAGTACCACTCTGCTTCTCTGTGGTAATGGTGTGAACAGGCCTTGTTTGGATGTCCAACCAAGACCCCAAACATACCAGCTGCCATAGAGTCTATAGCAACTCATCGTGACCCCATATATGTCAGAGTAGTCATGTGCAATCTATGGCTTGCAATGGTGGATTTTTTGGAAGTAGATTGGACTTTCTTATAACCTTTCAGTTAGCAGCCAAATGCTTAATCACTTGTGCAACCCGGTAACTCCTGAGAGTCTGCTACATGCAAATTCCAGGCCAGCTGGGAAATGACTCTTTATAGAGTCTTCTTGGCTGTCTACTTCTCCTTGTCTTGGGACATTCAGTATAAACCCAGAAGGCACTTCACATAAAACCTCAGAAAAATAAACACAATGGGGGCCTGGTATGGCACTGTAAGAAAGCACCAGACTGCTAAAAACCACAAGTCTGGCAGTTCAAACCCACCAGCCACTGAGTCAGAACTGACTAGACGACACTTAACAACAACAACATAACCCATGGGCTCTCCATAACTCAGAATAGACAAGACAGTAATAGTTTGTCGTTGCTTTAGAAATAACATCGTTGTGATTCACAAACTACAAAGCTTCAAATGTTGTCAGAATGAAGAATTTACAAGATTTAGCTCACCTAACATTAAAACTATCACATGCAAGTGTCAAGTAATTAATACACATTAACATCTCAGAATACCTGACATTTCCCTCCCTCTTTCCCCATTTTAGGAGGATTATGCCTTTTAACACACTGTCATCCCCATAACAGCACACACAATCAATTCTCTAACTACAGGAGTCACAGATGTTAACAGAAAACCCACATCAGAGATAACAAAAGTCTACTGACCTTGGCCTTGCGTCTGCTGGACTGCGATGGCTATTAAACCCATTTCCTGTGGCGTCTTAAACATCAACCTGCAAATGGTGTGGGGAAGACTGGTCAGCCAGAACAGGGGCTAGTGATATGAGAACTTACAATGTTTTCAAAGAGAAGGACACTATTTACATTCATTTACGAACGTGTGGTTTAAGAAGGCTCAACTCCTCTTTGTTGAAAAAAATCTGTAGAAATGGAAAGCCACACTTCCTACTTCCTGTAGTGAAAGTGACTAGCAGGGGACCAAGAAAACACCATTTAATATCAGAAAAGAGTGTGTGGGGGAGGGATACATCTATCTGCCTCTGCTGTTAGTTTAAGACTTCTTTAGATTGCGTTTCCTCAGAATATTTTATCAGGTCCCCCTCCCTTCCCCCCGCCCCATGTGGTGTGCCTTCTTCAAGTGACAACTTGCAATTCCTGACATTTGTTTCTACTTACAGTGCATTTCTGCCCGAACACAGGACTATAATCATAACACAAGTTTCTGATTATTTAGAAAACCAATATGGTGGCAATAAAGCAGTTTAAAAGATACACTATCCCCTGAGAACTAATTATGTTTGAACTATAGTAAATAAATCTACACCTTCTGAGAACTCGAGAGAACCCTGGATTATTTTAGGCTTGAGTTGCTTTTAAAATGGTTTCATTTAAAAGAATACAAACTTCCCTTCTGGGGATAGGAAGAAAAGCATACTATATCTCCACTAAATGACTCAACATTAACCTTTTCTTCCAAAAAAGTTAAGAAAGAAGAGGGTGAAAAAACACCCTCAATTGGAGAATTCCCTCCATTTTAATGCTCCCTTAAGATGGTTTTCTTCTACGCTTCCAGTAGTTTCTTCTCAAGTACTGAACAGATTTAGTTTGTGGTAGGATTTATTAACGAAAAAAAAATTTTAGTCTGGATGTGTGGATCATACCCATTTATCAGTGCAGCTTTGATGGCCTTTTTGAACTACTTTATTATTATCATTTGGGGGGGTGGGTAATGGGAGGGTTTAGAAGAGAGGTGAAGGATGAGGAATAGATGGCATTTTGTGTGAACATCAGGTTTCCAATAATAGTCCCCGAGTTGGAGAGAGATGCAATGAAGACATTTCGATCAAGCTCTACGTAACTATTCATCCTGTCCTCCAGCTAAAGGAGCGGGGTAGGAGTCTACAAATGGCTGGGACTCAGTAAGAGAGGAAAAGACTTAAAAGCAGAGAAAAACAACACGTTATGTCTCCCACACTCATCTCCAGATAGCACGTCCACCATCATGGAACTCTTAATGCCACCACGTACGTGCCTGTCCCATTCAGAAGAGCCCAAAGGACACCATGATTTGCTAAGAAGACCCCAATGGCACAGGGCAGAGGCTCAGTGGCTGACAGCAGCTCTCTCACACTGCTGCTGGAACAAGCACAGGGCCATTCTCCTCCAGGAGTCCGCCCCGAGGCTGCTGTGCCAGCCTCACTTCCATCTCATATGAAATACAGCTCTAGAAGTATTTCTCTTGGACGCCATGAATAACTCATTGAGATTGAGAGTGCCTATACACTGTTAGACTCGATGAATAAAGCGTCCTTTTCTTGTGTGGAGCCGCAGAAAGTCTTAAGAAGGACTCTTTGTTATGCTGGGGGTTAACATTGTCTTCTAGGAACCTCTGTCTTCTAGAGGATCCCAGTCACCCCTTCACTTGGACTTGGAAGTCTGCAGGGTCTCCAGGGATGGCTAACAAACTTTTAAACGGGATGGAGAGAAATGATTTGGCACATTGCGAGCAGATTGCCAGGGTTCCTTCTATTCCAGGCGATGGAGGATGTTCCTTAAGTAATTGTGTAGAGACGATAGACAGTCATATGCTACAGCCAGTAATGCAGAAGGTGGAATGGGGGGTGGGGAATAAGTGTCCAAGTAAAAGGTTGGTTCAGAAACCAAACGCAAACTTCTAGAACAAAGAGAAATGATTAAGGGAACATATGCACTAAACTGCTAGGGGTTTGGCAGCAGTTAACAGAGCATATTAATGAGAAGACTGGAGTCTGTGCTGTTGAAGGCCAAGAGGAAATTCTGCAAGGAGGGAGACAGCGTAGGGAAGGAGGTAATGCTTGCTTGGAGACAACTGGAGGCCGGCAGATTTATTTGTGCTATCTGAGATAACTCTGGGGGCCAAACCGCACAGCTCCTGGTCAACAAAGAGGCATTTATGGACTTTGTAAGATTTTGTATTTCTGAAAATTAAGTTGCTTGAGTTTGAGTTTGCTTTAACAGAGAGGAGAAACCATAAATGCATTTCCATCCTTCGTTGATGATGCCCTCAAAAAAGGTAAAAGAAAGAAAGAAAGAAAAAGAGGGTTTACAGAATGACTACCTCCCTGACTGTATATTTTCTTTCCTCACTGGCAAAGATTGTGGATAAAAGATTTCTGTGAGTGACAGCTGGGTATATTCACCATAGCACCATGGAATGTTCAAGAACAACACTCTGTTTTTGTACTCTTTGGAGTCTGAAAGAAGTAGAGCTCCAAAAGGGCCACTTTGCAAATGAGACAGCAACCTGACCACTTTGGTTATTCGGAACATCACAACCTCTGACGAATGTTGCATCAAAGGGAATATTCTTAATTCCACAGTCATAAAAATAAAGCCTCATTGTTTTTGCTTTGTGGCAATGAATATTGGTGATAGTTACACAATATGACTGATGCAACTGGGTTTATTGAATTGTATGTGTGAAAAAGTTGAATTGACTAACAGTACATATCTATATTCTTAAAGCAACAACAAAACGAAAATGTCATTAATTAAGACTAAGTTAGAAATCAACATGGTATGAATTAGTGAAAAATCTGAATGAATATAAATCTACATCCAGCCCTAGTTAATCTGTTTTGAGGACTCGACCCAAAGAAATAGCCTACATTCACTACAGTGTTGTGAAAGTAAAAATTTGGAAATAATCTAAATGTTCAGTAGGGAAACGGTTAAGTAAATTATGGTACACAAAGCAAATGGAATAATTTGTAGTTCTCAAAAATGCTAGTTACTGAGACTGTAGCAACATGAGACAAATACTTGGAATACACATTTTTTTAAAAGCTGGATACAAAGGTAACATATACTTTTTTTCTATCCTTGCAAAATTCTCAGACAAATAGTAGAGAGAGAGTTGACCAAACTATTATGGAGACTTTGTTAGGGCAATTTTTTCTTTTGTTTTCAACTGTGGTTTGCTTTTTGTTTTGTTTTTTGGTAATATGATTGGTTACATTTTCATTTTTTAAATATTTTGAAAAAAATGGTTTTTACCTTTAGATATAATACTTGCAATGAACTGTTCATAAATATTTCTTAGAATCTGACCAAAAGACCTGCTTTAAAAATAAACAAGGCAAACAAGTGATAGCAGCATTCTCGATTACTACACAGGTAGTCCCAGTTCACAGCATCTGAGTTATGATGAACTGCACTTATGTCTAGTTTTTTTTTTGTTGTTTTTTTTTTTAATGATTTGTGTATCTTTTTTATGTATGTATGTATTAAAATATACCTGTAAGCTTATATGTAATGTTTCCAACCCCCACAGACAAAGATTTATAATGATGAATTAAATAATAATGAAAACTAAAAAGAGAGAGACAGATTCTATTTACATTAGAACTGGCTTATAACAGAATCGTAGAATGGAACCCCATCATAAGTCAGAATTACCTTTAAATAGTAATCATGAGCCTATCTATAGTAATTAATGAGCAGAAAACTTTAAAACCAGACTGTACATATATAATATAATATATTTTAAAACTTTTATTCCTTTGAGTTAGTGATTCCATTTCTAAAACTTAATCTTAAGGAATATTCAGACAGAGGAATGAAATAATTCAGAAGTGTGCCTATTCATCAAGCATTACTGAAGCTCTGACAAACCACAAGCACTCCAAACTTACATGAATAGAATGATAAAATTCCTAACATCCGCACACGAAAGAACATATCATCAGTGATCCGGACAAGGTCTGAGGATGGTGCAGGACTGGACACTGTCTCACTGATGATACAATGGACAACAAAGTCCTTTACACAGCATGACTCCAATGGTATTATAAAAGGTAGGTTTTTTTTTTACTTGTTAGGAAAAATACCGAAATAGTAGCTGTGGTTACTTGTGGGAAGTGCAATTGTTTGAAGAAATACAGAAAAATACAAAGCCGAAGAAGATAAGTCATCCACAGAAATCTCTTTTTTTCATTTAAGGCTTCAATGCCTTAGTGTACAATCTTTTAGACTTCATTCCTTTTTATTAACAAAACAAAACTAAAAATGATATAGATACATTTTACAAAGATATGTTTCTGATGATTTGGAAATTTTTCCTTATTTTGGAGTTATTGAAATAATGCATTCTTGTGTGGCACTATTTGGTGAAGCACTGGACTGCAAGGTCAGCTTCAACCACAAGGTCAGCGGTTCAAACCCATCAGCCACTCCTTGGACACCCTATAAAGGGTCACTATGAATTGGAACCAACTTGACAACACTTAATAACAATAACAGTAACAACATATTATACTACACAGGGTCACTAAGAGTTGCAACTGACTCATCATTACTTAACAACAAAAACAGTATAATATGTTGTTATTGTTACTGTTGTTAAGTACTATCAAGTTGGTTCCAATTCATAGTGATCCTGTATAGGGTTTCCAAGGAGCGACTGGTGGGTTTGAACCGCTGACCTTGCAGTTTGTAGTCCAGTGCTGATCCTATAATGCCACACCAGGAATCCATTATAGTGATACATTTTTTTGTTATAAGGAAGGCATGAAAAAAGGGTGTCGTATTCTGATCCCATTACCATAGGTATGGATTCCTATGTATATTTATAGGAAAATGGTAGTGGCGGTAGCTACCATTACGTTGTCCCAGCCTCGTGATGAGCCCACACACTATGGCAGAGGACATCGTCAGTTGGGTCCTGTGCCATCTTCATGATCCGTTGCACATCAGAGTGTCATTATGATCTGTAGGCTTTTCACTGGCTGGTTTT